TACAATTTTTGACTATTTTTAAGAAAAAGTCATATTAGAAAGGTCAAGTATATATATCTAGTTTTTTTTTATTATATAAATAATATGTAGGCAACTTATGTTTTTTTTTTCTGTTTTTTAATAAAAAAACTTAATTTTCAATTTGTTTATTTTATAGCATCTGACATCACGATAGCTTTGTAAACTATATTATTATTTTTATCATAAATTTCTAATATTTTGTTGGTTTATTCTATGATGGTTTGTGTGTATATTCTTAACTCTAGCACCAGTAAATATTTAATTACAAATACTTTCAACTCTGATATTGATAAATATTAAATAACTATAAAAATAAAATAAATTTAAATCAATATTTTTTCTTCCCGAGTCTGGCGTTAGTGAATAAACAAATAAATAAATTTATTTTTATGCATACACAATGTTTTTTATTTTTATATAGCTAAATAAAATACAATGAAATAAATTTAAATTAATATTTTTATTTCTGATTCTTGTAACAATGAATAAAAAAATCATACTTATATTTTTTTATTTATACATACATAAATTTTTATTTTTACTTTATTTTTTTATTTTTTTGGCTAATCCTGACTTAGCTCATATGAATGGGGCTCGACCCAACCTGGCTGGGCAACATGAAGCACGCGTAAACTAAATCACGCGTGCATGAGCAGATAAAGGAGTTAAGTTAGAATGTACAATAGGAAGTGAATTAAAATTTAAAGTAAACAGTAACCAGTGAATTAAAATGAAAAGCAGGGAAAGAGAAGCTTACTTGCCTAGTTTTGCAGAGACTTTGCTCGAATCGGCAGACGCTGGGCGAAGCTCCTCTCTTCAACCTTTCTTCCTGCTCCTTGCTCTTTCTTTTTCTGTTGTTTTGTTTCCATTCCCCTTGCTGTGTTCTGTTCTCTCTGTTCTTTTGACTCTCTCTCTGTATGTCCTCCAGCTCGTTCCCCCTATATTTGTTTCGGTTCGTGCTCTGCCTTTCTGTTTTTTTCTCTAGTTCTCGCCCCCTGCTTCTCCCGCTCGTCTGTGAATTTGTGCCTTTTATTCTGTCCTCCGCTTTTTCTCTGGTTCTCGCACCCTTTTATGGAGCTCGAGAGCTTCAAAACCAGTCCTGCCTTTGCAGGACTGTTATTCAAATCATGAACGGGATCGGGGGCACACCTTAAAACATCTTAGAAACATCCTACAAACCTCAATAAACTCCTTTTCAATCCTAGAAAACTCTAATCACTCTAAAATCCAACTGAATCAGAAACCACTATACGGGTCCTGATCTATTTTTACTCAAATTTCAAAGACTAAGCCATTAACACCAATATCGATATTTTTAATGGCGTAAATATGACTGGCAAACATTCTCTCTCCTTTTTTTTTTTCCGATGACTTTCTCTGATCTCACAACATCCAAGGATTAAAATGTAAAAACATTTACATAACAGCATCGCACATGAGAAAATTAAAATTTGAAGGACCAAAGTGTAGTTTTTCACTCCCATGAACACTAAAAAAATAAAAAAAGGGGTTGGTTTTTTTATTTTGTGTCAACTTAATTTATATCAGAAAAACAAACTATGTAAATATCAGAAAAACAAACTATGTAACTTATCTTAAATAAAAATTATTAGGAGTGATATATCCTGTATATACATAATTAATTCTTTTATACAGATTCGAAGATCACATAATGTTTTAGTAATTAAAATATTAAATAATAACTTTATTCTTTTTTACCTATATAAAACAAGTATTTCTTATTTTTTTCACTATCACTAGAAAGATTCCAAATTGAAAGAAAGATTCCTATGATATTACGCATGTACGACAAGATTTATTTGGTAACTCTCAAATGTTATAAACTAAGAAAAAATTCTTTAAGAAAAAAAATCAAATAAAAGTTGTCCCACGTAAGTAATAGGGAGAAGAAATTTGAGTAATTTGATTAGTGATTTTTTTTCATGTTTACTCTTTCATCCTACCATCGGTGTATGATGTATATAAAATGTTATCATATGAAAACTTTAGTAATAATTTTTTATTAATTTCTCTCATCTTTTCAAATAATAATCTTTTATAAGGAAACTATCATAGCTATGTCAAAAAATTTGCATTCATATGTTAATGTTTCTGTCTGCAATCAATCAGTCTACACAACAAGTTGTAATTAAATTTTAAAGATGCATCCTATACAATGAAAAAGATTTTATCAGTATATTATTATAAAAAAAAATTAGTTCAAGAAAGACTTTCAAGGCTAAATTTTTAGAAATATAAACATATTGTAATAAACACACGTTAAAACTGACACTAGCCAGATCTCACACACTACCAAACCTTAGATATGTTAGTAGGATAGTATGGAATAACTTTTTTGTTTTTAGTATATCAAAAAATATGATCCTCCTCTCTTGAATCTAATATAATACAAAAACTCAGTTTTTAAAGGCTTTAGTTATCGTCTTAGATTATAATATTTGACACCTTTTAGATATATAAAATTCCTTTAAGAATCATAATATTTTCATGAAACATTAAGATATATGCAAAATATATTTATTTATTATTAAATATTATCAAGATAAAATTATAATACAAGCCATTCTTTTCATAAAAAAACATGATTCATATGTCATAAATACACAATAAGACATTTAAAATAAATATTCATAATTTTCATATATATTTTTAGAGCATTGTTTTCTAGAATATCATTATATTTTAAAAAAAATAATAATTATTCAAATATTAGGAAATCTCCACCTTCACCTAAGAGAAGTTTTAATAAATATTAGCCATAAGTTACTTTAAGCTGCTAAACATCAAATATAAGTTAGAGAGAATGAATGAGATTTTTGAAACCAATTAATTAATCAATTATTCAATTTGAGAATTTATTTTTAGACTATTAGAATTTTTTAGTACGTCATGACTATGTGATTGGCATTTTGTTTATACGAAAACCATTTCTCTTAGATTTGTTTCATAAATATGCATTAAGAATTTTATTAAGCCCAAAATAGCTGGAATCCATCAATCACCGAGAGATGCTTGGAATTTTGAGAAATCAACCAAGACTGCAAGACCTAATTGAGTTTCAGAGGTGCTTTTGATTTTCTATTCTGGGCTAAATCTTTTGGACTAACTAAAAATACAAAGCCTAATTTGGACTACTATAACACTGATGAGTTTGGGCTTTTCCGTTTTATCCTTGAACGATTATTTATTTACGTTTTTTTTTTTCTATCCTCTCATGTTAAGTTTACATGGTTTTATATTCTTGTGATTGATTTCAATTTATATGTTGTGTTATATTCAATGTCAAAAAAATATTTTGGTATTAAATTGATGTTTAATTTTATAAAATATAATAATAATAGATTGAGACCCATAAGGTTTTTTTTTTAAAAAAATATTATGTTAGATTATGGTTTTCTTCCTATAATATTTTATGGTGTTTTTATTTAAAAACAAGTTGAAAATTAAATTTTATTAGTCTAAAAACTTTAAATTTAACTTTTCAATCACATAAAGTGGTCAAAAAGTTAATCAAAAGATGATATATTATTTGTTGAGATAAGCAATATGTTGTTTGATGTATAAATGTTTTTAAAAATGGATAGTATGTTATCTACCTATTTAAAAAATAAGATATTTGGGTTTGGTCTTCGTAGGGTTTGGCATGTCTAGTTTTGTTTTTGTTTTATTGGTTAGGGAAGCCTGATTTTTTTTTAAAAATAACCCTTAATTGTTTTCCTCTAATTTTTAACAAAAAATTTCTCTTTAAATAAATTTATTAAAATAACATTTAAACAATTATTGAATTATGCTATTAATTAAAAAATATTTAGGTTGTTTACAATGATATTATAAATTATATTATATGAATAATTATGTATGAGCTTGATATACTGAGTTTTTAAAATAATTTTTTTATTAATATTAAATGAGAATAAAATATTTATTTTTTATAAAAAAATTTCTCATATTTTTTTTATACAAGTCCATTGATTCATGATTTTTTAATATTTTAATTGAAACTTGCTTTCATAATTATATTTATAGTTAAAAGAAATTCTTGCCATAATAAAAAAATAAATGGTTAAATAAAAAAATAGATTTTTTTATTAGAGATACATTTTTTCCTTTTTTAGTTGAGATCATTATAGTTTTTGTCATTTTTGTTTCTACCTGTTATTGTTGTTTATTAAACCAATTATGTCATTAATAAAAAAAACTTTATTTTTATCAAAATAAAAAAATACACAAATTAAAATAAATAATCTTGATGAAAAATACATATGAATTCTTATTTTTATTATTATATAATTAGACAAAAATAAATTTAAAAATATATTAAACTTAGTTAGGGTCATGACTTGAGTTATTACTAGTTTAGTTTAGATTGACTCAAATTAATTCAAAATATTTTTATTTTATTTTAAAAAAATTATTTTGTTTTGAGTTTTTTAAAATTAAATATAATTTTAATTAAAGTTTAGTTTAGATTGACTCAAATTAATTCAAAATATTTTTATTTTATTTTAAAAAAATTATTTTGTTTTGAGTTTTTTAAAATTAAATATAATTTTAATTAATTAATTAATTTGTGGATAGACTGGGTTATTTTATATATATATAACCCAATTAGAGGGTTAACTCAACATAAAACTTGGGTTAAATAAATTTACTTAATTTTTATAAAAAGATTAAAATAACCTTTATTTTGTTTTTTTAAATAATCAAGTTTTAATTAGATTAATTTATATTTTTGATCGGTGAAAAAGCCAACTCCCTTCTATTTTCTATAAAATATGACCCGTGATAGTCCTGAATCAACTAAAAGTCTCAGGTAGAGCCAGGCAAGGTTTAATAATAGTGCTGTCCTGTGAACAAACTCGTCCCAGTTTCTCTACAATTTTAAGTAATTGGCTAATTTTCTTATACATGGGGTATCCAATTGAAAATTTATTTTGTTTGGAGATTTAGTTGAAACTCATGTAATAGTTTGGGGACAAACATGTTCTTCCCCCTGAATAAAACTAAGAGATCAACACATGTAGGCAGCTACCATATTATCGTTGAACAACAAGATGACTGGCAGGTGGAAAATTATGTTCCCTCCCTTTCTCTGACACTTTTCACACTTTCTCGCATCTTTCCCTTCTGACAAAACAAAAACAAAGTAACTTGTATATGTATCTGTCTCTGCAGATGCTGGATTGGTCAACTACAATCATCATCATTATCAGCAGCAGCAGCATCATCATCATCAAGAACATTGCTTTACAGAGTTTTAGAGCAAAACCCAGATCGGATTTGTCACTGTTTTGATAGAATTGGCATCCTTTTATCCTTTTCCTTTCACATCTATATATATGTGCGTGCGTGCATGTATGTGTATGTATCTGTGTAGATGTACTCAAGCAATTTAACAGGGTTTGTACTGGCACTGGTTTCCAGTACCTTCATAGGGACCAGTTTTATAATCAAGAAGAAGGGTCTTAGGAAAGCTGGTGTTAGTGGTCCTCGAGCAAGTAAGTCAAGTTCTTGTTTTGAAAGAAATTTTGGGGTTTTGTTGAATATAGTGTTTGTTCAGTTTGTAATGGTGATTGAGGTTGATTTTGTTTGTTTAAGGTGTCGGAGGCTATGGTTATTTGCTGGAGCCACTTTGGTGGATAGGCATGATTAGTAGTAAGTTACTTTTGTTACTGCTGTTTCTGTTGCTGTTTTGGTTATTCAAGTTAAATGTAGTCTTTGTTGAAAAATAATTGATTTTTAGGCTAATTTGAATTTAAGTTGAAGTGTTTGAGGGATGATTGTTTGTGTGTTCTTAGATTTGGTGTGTCTTGATTTGATTGGTGTTTGGTTGGACGAATTTACAGTGATTGTTGGAGAAATTGCCAATTTTGTAGCATACGTTTACGCTCCTGCTGTTCTAGTGACACCACTTGGTGCATTGAGTATCATTGTTAGGTAATGTTTATTTCATCTTCAATTAGTATCTGTAATTGATTAGTCTAATTATGTGTAAACATGGGCAGTGCGGTATTAGCCCATTTATTGTTGGGGGAAAAGCTGCAAAAAATGGGGGTGTTGGGTTGTCTTCTATGCATAGTCGGTTCTACTGTGATTGTGCTACATGCACCTGAAGAACGGTCCATCAATTCAGTTAAAGAAATCTGGGAGTTAGCTATCCAGCCTGGTAGAACTCTTTCCTGCTTAGCTGTGCTCATCTCTTGTTTCTACCTTTCCTCCTAATCAATTTGATGTGCTATCTTTTCTTTTCCAGAATTTCTTTTATATACAGCCTCTGCGGCAGCTATAGCATTGGTGCTCATTTGGTATTTTTCTCCACGCTATGGCCAAACCAACATTTTGGTCTATATAGGAATTTGCTCAGTAATTGGATCATTGACAGTAAGCATCTCTTAAGCCCTTGCTAAGTGTATACTAGGACTAAATGAATTTAAAACCTTTGGTATAAGCATGTGGTCTAGGAACTTTGAAACTTAAACCTCAATGGAACATTTGCATGTGTTCCTATAACAATAATAACTACAGGCTTTCTTGTTTTGCAGGTTATGAGTATAAAAGCCATTGGCATTGCAATAAAATTAACGCTAGAGGGCACAAACCAAGCCAAATACTTCCAAACGTGGATTTTTGCAATGGTTGCAATTACTTGCATCATCACTCAATTAAATTATCTAAACATGGTTAGTATCTTAATATGCAGTTCCATCTCACTGTGGTATTATCTGAATGGTTATGCATTTTTCTCTTTAAGTGCTACAAGCTAGTGAGTTGGTGATGTTTAACCAATTTTCGTGTGACAACCATGCTTATGCAAATGACCAAATTACTTTACAACTCTGGAAAGAGTTGCTTTCCTATCTATCTATTGATGCACAATTCTATTTATGACTGTCCTGAGACTAGGTTACTATCATCATTGCCTCCAATCCATTACTAGTGAATATTCATTGGACCTAGTTGGGTGTGTGCACACGCATTCTCATCTTGAGGGATCTGATATCATTAAGATTTGAAATGGTTTGGTACCTGCAAGTTTATAGTCTAACCTAGGACCAAGACAACTATAATGGTTAAAGAACCATTACTATATTATTTTAGGTACGGATTGAAAAGTGTCATTGACTCAAGGATGAATATGATAAAGTTCTGTTATGCTTAGCATATTCTATCTTCTTACAATATTAAAGTTGTGCATAAAAAAATATTTTGGTTTTCAAGTTAGGAAAGAAGAGAATTTAGAGAATAAGTTCACTATTTTGGGGCTCTAAAACTGGATGAGTTTTCCTAGCAGAAAATCTGAATTCTTGAGCCATGAAAGTATGAACATAAAATAAGTGTTTATATTTCTTAATTTGCACTCATGTAGTGCTTTGCATGGAATGAAGTTGTCTGGACCCATAGCCATGGACAATGGTTTGGAATATGTGAGCATAACGTTTGATTTTAAATTCAAACATTTTTATGTAATAAGTCGACCAATATTAGTGATGCACTCTAACTAACACGCTTTAGGCAGATGCCTCCTTGCCATGAAACTTCAGAAACCTCAATTGAACTCCATCATAGATCACCCATGATACACCTATAAGATCTATGCAATTGTGTGGTCTCATTAAGAATATATTGGTGATAGGGTTCAATAGAACAGGAGATGCACTTAGTACCCTGAACAGATTTTGGTTGTTTATTATTATTTTTTTAATTGTGTATGATTCTTTTGTTGGCTTTTAAGTCTCTCATCATAAATGTTCGTGGTTATTTGACAACAAGTGCTGAATACACTTTGAAAATCTGCTACAATGGTTGGTTAAAAGATGACTCTTTCATCCTCTTCTTCGCATTTGAAAGATTCTAGTCTCCTCCAAAATTATAGTCAATATATTGCATTGCCTTTATAATTCTTCAGGTTCAATATGAGTTCTCATCTAATGATCTGGTGGGGTTGCAGGCACTGGATACGTTCAACACAGCAGTTGTTTCTCCCATCTATTATGCCGGGTTTACATCTTTTACAATTCTTGCCAGTGCAATAATGTTTAAGGTATCCTTGTGTAAATGCCCATGCAGAGAGAAGGGGTGGGGGGGGGGGGGGGGGGGGGGGGGGGGTTGTAATGAGCACTTATAACTGTTTTTGTACTTTTTCTGAAGGATTATTCTGGTCAAAGTGCAAGCAGCATTGCTTCGGAGCTTTGTGGGTTTGTTACTGTGTTATCTGGCACCTTTGTATTACATAGCACCAGAGAACCAGATCCACCAATCCTGACAGGTAAATCTCTTGTGCACTTAGGTTGGTGAATCTTTCTAGATATTAAAATTGTGACTTAAATGCATGCTTGCCAGGTATCTCATATTTGCTTAATGTTCAAGCAATGTTGTACCTGCAATTTCATTACTTTCTAATTAAAAAATCATTATTAGTTGAATCAAAATTGTGAAAATATAAAGCATTAACACTCATTTTATAGAGACAAACATACAAGAAATGAATTGTATTTTCTAAGAAGTTATCAGGAGCACTATGTGGGGTTTCTCAGTATGATGAATTAGAAAATGAGCATGAGTCAGGTTATAGAAAAGAAGAAGTTGGCTGAGTGAGGGAGAAAGCAAGTCACTCAGTATATAAGATGTAAGAGTTTGTGATGGGAACAGCCAAAAACATCTATGGGTTTATGAAAAGGTTTGAATAGTTGAGGTTCTTGAACAATTTTGAAATGATTTCAGAAGAACTCTTTAGATTCCAGCATCTGGCTAGAGATGTTGAAGTCCTCATTGCGGATGAGAGTTTTTTTTTTTTTTTTTTGAGAGGACCCATTTTGATCAACACTCAGGCTTCAAAAATCATGAATCAAATACAACATTTGACCGCAAAGATCACTGATTGGTGTTGAGGGAAAGTGGAATAAAAATGCACAAGTTGAATTAACTTGAAGACAAAATGCCTTCATAAATAAAAGACTAAGTTAAATAATCAGTTTTTTGGAATGTAATTTCAAGATAATACACATGATACTTGTGAAAATGCTATGTGGAGATTGTAGAAAATGAGCGGTAGCTATTAACTATAAAGATGTTATATTCTATAAGCAAACAAAATAATGTTTCCACACCTACACCAGTACTGATGTGCTCTAGTTTTATTTTGCTGGAACAAGTGGTTATGTTTGCTCCAGCCTAATGTGTAATGTAATTTTCATTGTAAAGGACCAGATTCAAGTTCTTTTTATGATGACAGGTTTTCTTCACCTCCTTGAAATGTCAGTTACTGCATGGATGACTTGTGTTCATGCTAATATGTTAAAAAACAAACATTACATGGATTTCAATTTCTAGGGTGGCAAAAGCCAGCCCTTTACACGGCCAACCGTGTTTCAAATTGTGGTTGGCTGTGCAAAAAGCATTAAAAAATTATGCTTTTTGCAGCCAACCACTGTTTGAAAAGTGATTTGTCACTTAGACAAACACACTTAATATTATTAAAGAAAAGCAATGCATTTGTCTGATAATTCCAAACATGCAGATCTTTATACACCATTGTCTCCAAAGGTATCATGGTACATCCAAAGCAGTGGAGAGCATTGGAAACAGAAAGATGAAGACGGCCCATCTCCCAATTTTATCACAATTCTTCGGCAAGACCATTTCAAGTGAAAGATAGTATACTTGAGGTGCTAAAGTTTTCAATTTTTGGTGGCACCTAAGGCCCCAAGCAGGACTGCTCGAGTGTCAAATGCTTGTGCAGGGGAACACCGTGTGGTAATCTTTTTGTTAGCGAATACTTCTGAGTGTCGAAAACAAATTTATCTTGCAGTCTAGTCTTATGCCATAGCCGTTTGTAGTGGTCTCTCATCTCACTTTATTTTGATTCTCACATTTTTGAATTCCCTTTCTCAGCTTGTAGCAATATTTGATTTCATTCCTCCAAACATGTTCAGTCTCGTGTGGAGGTTTCAAACTGAGCTAACCCATGTAGTTGGGTCTGGTCTTTGTAATCTAATTGATTTGATTTTATGTGACAAATTTAGTAAATTCGACTCTTTGGTTATGTTGAAATTGATTTGTTCCTTGCTTACATGATTAGTGTCATGGCTGCTAGGAGAATGAAAAAATATTTGGAAAAACTGTGCAAGGAAAATGAAAAATTTGGAAAAACTCACTTGCATGATGCATGGCCTGTATTGAATTATATAGAATGTATGTATAACAAGCTAAGAATTACCTCATGATTTGTTATACAAGGGAATAATAACAATTATGCTACAATCTCGTAATCTATTATGCATGGAAATAATAACCGGAGAGTATCAATTGCGAGGAACACCAGCTGTGGAGGATCATTTGCATCAGTTGGAGGGATAAAGGATAATTCTGAACTTTGATTCAAATCGTATCTCAATATTCCCCTTCAATCTCAGGGCAGGACGGAACCGAAGAAGAGCTTGTCATGATTTGGAAAAAATTTGGGACCACTCAAGGGTTTTGTAAATACACAAGCTATTTGATCATAATCTGAGAATTGTGCCAAAGAAATAACATCGAGGGAGGGCTGGCTGTTAACGAACAGAACGGACATCAATCTCTATATATGTTCAGTGCGCTGATGAAGGGCCATATTTCTAGCCATGTTGATAGCACTAAGAATAGGGGTGAAGATAAATCATATCCAAGCTCTTTGAGTAGATGCATAAACCACAAGAGCTTAGCTATGGCAGCCGCTAAATCATGATATTCTGCTTCTGTCAGATAGTAAGTTATCACTCATAAATATTAGCAAAACTGGTTATGGATCGACGATCATTCCAAGAACCTGCTCATTTAGTATGACAACAACCATGAAGCGTAGTAAGAGGAGGCTTGACAAAATGAAGCCCAAGATTGAGCATTCCCTTAAGATAATGATAAATTTGCTTGACAACAATGTCTTGGGGGACATTGCATGGGTTGACATACAAGGGCGATTTCAGGTCATATATTGATTTAATCCAGCCATTTGCCGATACAGAGATGGATCAAGCAAAAGAGTACCTTCATTGGCTGGCAATGGAGCACCTGTGCCCAATGGTGTTGTAATAGGTCTGGCACCATCCAAACCATTTTCTTAAGGAAGAGAGAGCTCATATCTCGTTTGAGTTATACTGTAGATTAATCACGACCAACTTGAATTCCCAAGAAATAGTGCTATTCTCCAAGGTCTTTCATATTGAAGACTAACACCAAATTAGAAATAAATTTGCTGAATTGTGAAGAATTTACTGCTATGATTATGATGCCATCAACATAAATCAGGAGCATAAGAATGTTATTAGAGCCATGGCAACGATTAAAAGATAGATTTATCAGAAGAACAATGTTGAAAACTAGTTGTTGAATGCAGATGATAAATTTGGTATATCAAGCCCGACGGCTCGTTTAAATCCTTGAAAAATTCCAAATCATCTTGGATAGGATCCTATCGATGAGTGAAAGCAAACGGGAGTTCATCACCAATAGCCCTTGTAGTGGGTTGAACAACCAAGGAAGATAAACCTACTTGATTTATAATCAAGTTTAGTCTTGCCAAAAGTTAAGCATGGGTAGCATGAATGCCCAAAAACAGAAATAGGGTGACTTATTCATTTTAATCTCTTTACAAGGTTTTAAGGACTAAATGGAAATTGTATTTCACATTGTTGTTTTTTTTCTTAATATTGAATCGTTGAGGTTTGAAACTAGTTTGTTTATTTTTGAATTTAAATTAAAACTTATCTCAAAATAAGTTTTGAGTCTCAAATTTTTTAGATTAACACGTTAATTTATATTGAAATATTTAATAACTATGACTTATATCTTTATTCTTGTAACAAAAACATATTTTAATTGTTCTTGCAAATTAGTACTATGCTAGCATTCTGTGTTTTTGTGGATTTTGTTTTTAAATTAGCATAATTAATTAAAAATATTAGCAGAATAGCACAATTGGAAAAATAATTTGTGAACTTTTTTCACACTAGAAAAATATAACTTTTATAACTTGTCATTGTATATTCAATTAAAAAAAATATAAAATGAATTGGAAAGAAAAGAAAATAAATCAAAAACAAATCCTGAAAATATATGGAAGCTTTGATTACAATATCACTATTACCATAAAAAATATATTACCAAGACAAATCTAATAATACTAAAAAAAAAATCATCAATGATAATTCAAGTAGGCCACCCTTGTCTTTCAAAAATGGAAGGTGCATTTATCTTTAACAGCAATTATAACCTACTTAGTTCATCGTTGATAATAGTAGCTTGCGGGCATGGAACTTCATTTTTCACATACCCAAGAAAGACCATCTCCATGTAGAATAAGGACTTCTTGTGCCTTCCATAACAGGTAGCTGGCTGAGTCTAGTTTAATAGAAATACCAGGCAGCGTAGTTCTGGCTGGGGAAAAATCAAGCTCATTCCAGGTAGAAGAATATGTCATTGTTAGAAACTGTGAGCTCATGAAGTTTTTGGAAAAACTTTCTTGCATGATGCATGGCCTGTAAATTTAACATTTACAGCTAATAATTATCACATAACCTATTATACAAGGAAATAATATCAACTACGTTAGAATCTCGCAATCTATTATACATGAAAATAATAACTGGAGAGCTAGCATCAGTTGTGGAGGATAATCTTCACCAGCTGGAGGGATAAGGGATTATGTCAAACTTTGATTCAAATTTATTCTCGGTAATGGCCTCTTACCTGCTTTAGAGTCCCCTAGTGAACACTCTCTTTGGTATTTGATGTTTCTTTCTTCTTCTTTTTTCAGAGTACAAGAGCATATAGATAAATCTTGATATTTGATTAATGGTTTATATTGAGGAGATTCAAGTAATCTCTACCAACGGTTTGTTTGCCTTCTGAAATACTTTCATTTAAAAAATAAATAAATAAATAAACTTATGCTGTAAAGGGCCTCTAATTCTTGCTCAACTTCTCTGATTCAAGTCAACCAACAAGTCCAATTAAGGGTTGGCTCTACACGACATGAGTCTACAAGAACGGGAGAGAAGCTGGAAATGATAAGATGGGCATGGAATGGGAATAATAATTAGAGATTTCACATGAACGTTTACAACGTCATAACACAAGAAATGTTATTGCTTCTTGATATTCATTGAGAACTAGTAAATAGGCTAAAATTTTAGTTTTTTTTCTTCTTAAAGTCGTAAGAAACTTAAAACCGAATTTGGGTTGGATTTCAGCTTTTCATGTTTATTATATTTAGTTGATTCATGAGTTTGCTTGCAGACATAGGAGTTAGTTAAAAAAGGATGAGAAATAATATACTAAAAAATAAATGAAATTGTAATGAGTGTTTATCTACATTTTGTGTGTTTCTATCTTTGATTTTGTTGAATAGTTCTTCGTAGTTCTATGGTGGTTGTTAATGATTATACCAATGGTTGGGTGGTTGTTGGAGATTCTAGGAATTGTTGAATGATGCAAAGATTCGTTAAATGGTTGAGGGTGATTATAGAAATTATTGGGTGATTGATGATGATTAAAAGAATTATTAAATGATTTGTGGTGGTTATGGAAATTGATGGATGGTTAATGAAAGGTATAGAAATTGTTAAATGGTTGATAATGATGCATGAGATTATCTTAATTTTTAATAGTTGTGTATGAAATCTAAAATCTAGAATTTGTGTTTTTTATTTGATTATTTGAAAACATGGTTATATTCATATTTTAAAAAAATTTAATTTTTTTTGTATGTTTTAGATTATTATGATGTATTGATTTCAAATATGATTTTTAAAAAATAAAAAAAATTATTTTAATGCATTTCAGCATAAAAATATTTTGAAAAATAATTATAATTACACTTCATATACAATCTCATGAGAATTGTATTTTTTTAAAAAAAAATTAGACCATAGATTGTTGCTTGATGGTCAATTGTAATGGAGATATAAGTCCTATTATTACATTGGAGGCATCATTGCCAATAAATTTATGACTTGGGATGTATTTATAATGGATTAGTAATCTTATTTTAAAATATATTAAAATAATATTTTTAAAATAAAATTATTTTTTATATCAATTTAATTTAAAAATATCAAAAAAATTATTAATTTAAAATATTTTTTTTTAATAATACTTTTAAAACATAAAACAAAATGATTTTAACCAGTGAAGATACCTCCTCTCTCTCCCCTAGTAGTTGTCTGGTATGAGACAGCCTCTCATTTGTAACAAAAAGAAAAATTTTCAAAAATATTGTCGAACAAATTTGCCTACCAAATGAAAAAACCACTCGGAGATGAATTGGCAGGGAACACTACTAAAATAGAAATCTCAGGTTCAGAGACCTCAGCTTCTATTTGGTTCGGAAAAGTATAGAACAAAAAGAAAAAGAAGCCGTAGCAAATCTTTAATATCAGGCATCAATATATTCACAAACAGCACGAAAGACTGAAAGTTCTGCAGAGATTACATAATAGAATAGAAGTTTTGCATGCAGCCACCCCCCACTGAATTTCTCATAGAAATCCTTGCCCCAACGAATACAAACCCTGTTAAGATCTTGTTTACCTGCATAAAATCTCTCTCACTCTCCCATTTCAAAATAACAAGTTACATCTCTATTGATACATCATCATCAGGTAAAACCAAAGGAAATAGAGAATACTTGACTCGAAGAGAGATTTTTCCCTTATCTACATTAAGCTTTGCCCCAGACACGGCCCAGTATCCAGGTGCATCTTGTGGCCCTCTTGTCATCTCTGTTGTGTCAACAAACTTCAAAAGTTTAGGGGTCTGGGCAGCGACTGGTGGGCCTCCTGGGTACAAGGCTGAGTTTATGTTTACCACTGGTTGTGGAGGTTGTTGTTTCTGAGCACTTGAGAAACGAGTACTGATCAATGTGGAAATTATTCCAGATTTCTGGTTCAAGGCAGGGGAACCATCCCATTCAGACCTCCTCAGAGTTGTGGTACCGATGACTCGAGAAAATTGCAGCCGCAAAAATAAAACTTTTTTCAAACCAGACTCTCCAACTTCAAACTGTGCCCCAGTGA